CTTTTATAGCCCAGCCACAGGCCCGGCTTCGGGTGGTAACGGGGCCTGTTCGGCTCTGGAGCGGGGCATTTCTGCCGTTCGTGCCCATAAAAACGGTAAAGTGGCGTGGTCTGGGTGACGCCACTTTCCCGCTAAATTGCGTGGCAGTCTCCCATTTGTCCTTGATGGTGAAAAAACTTGCAATGATCAGGATTCCTCTGATCTATTTACAAATTTTTTTCAATCTACTTATTCTTCTGCTGATCTCTACAGCAACTCATATCCATATTCACTTCCTGAATATGTCTGTCAATTCTCCTAAGATCACTGTATCCTCTCTGGCTGCAGCCATTGCGTCGTTGAAATCATCTTTCTTTCCTGGTGCCGATAATATTCCAAGTTGTGTGATTAAAGAGTGCAGTGTTTTTCTTCAGTCACAATTACTAAAATTGTTTAACTTGTCCTTGTATACTTCTGTGTTCCCTTCATTTGGAAAGAATCTTTCATTATTCCCCTTTATATAAAAAAGTGGTAGATCTGATATCTCAAATTATAGAGGTAATGCGAAATTATCAGCTATTCCAAAGTTATTTGGAAAAATTGTAACATCGGCCTTGCAACATTTTTGCAAATCGATCATTCAACCATCTCAGCATGGTTTTGTTCAAAATCAATCAATGTCCTCTAATTTACTAGAATTTACTTCTCTTTTCAGTGACAGTTAAAAAGAAGTAAGAAAGCTCTAGTCGAGACTGCTCGACTACGAGATCCCCTGAACCCTTGGAGTAATAGCTATTTCAATCATTTTTCGCGTCCTTCAACTTACACAAGAAACACGCACACACACACACATACACAAACACATACACACACAAGCATAAACACGCATGGGCGCAGTGTGCGCTTACTATGAGAACTTAATTGTTTAATAACTTTTTTTGTGGACATACGATCTTCATGAAACTTTCAGATTATGATTATAACATGAATATGCATGTATTTGCCAAAGCACAAGTCTCTAGTATTTGAAATACGCTTTCTACAAAATGGTGGGTGAGGGGGTGAATTTAAGGGTGGGGGTAAATTTTAACAAAAACCGAAATTGTATAAATTGCATATAGGCATACATTAAAAATTTGGAGACTCTAGCAATAAAGGTGTAGAAGATATAATTTTATAACTGGTTTTCGATAAGTTTTTTTTATCGATAAAAAAGATCTGGATGAGTTATCGATTTTTAATGATAAACTCGATATCCGCGCTGTAATTACGGACATTTAAAAAAAAATTTGAAGTCTCTAGCTCTTATATCTTCGGAAATCGAGGCGTTCAAGCATACGGACAGACGGACGGACGGACAGGCGGACAGGCAGACAGACGGACAGGGCCAAATCAACTCAGCTCGTCGCCCTGATCAAGAATATATATACTTTGTGGGGTCTGCCACGCCTCCTTCTGCCTGTTACATACATTTCAACAAAACCATTATACCCTGATTTCCCATTGAAAATGGGTTCAGGGTATAAAAAAAATGCAAACTGATGTTCTTTACACTGACTTCAGTAAAGCATTTGACTCAGTACATCATCAGATATTAATTCTAAAGCTGGAACGGTTAGGATTTTCCCCTAGACTCGTGTCCTGGATTTCATCCTATTTAAAGGGAAGAACCCAAAGGTCTTGATGAGAACAGCTATTTCTAAACTTATCTTTGTTTCGTCTGGTGTACCTCAGAGTAGCCATTTGGGTCCATTAGTCTTCTCCCTTTTTATTATACTCTGAACCCATTGAAAATGGGAAATCAGGGTATAATGGTTTTGTTAAAAGTATGTAACAGGCAGAAGAAGGCATGGCAGACCCCACAAAGTATATATATTCTCTATCAGGGCGATGAGCTGAGTCGATTTGGCCCTGTCCGTCTGTCTGTCCGTCCGTCCGTCCGTCCGTCCGTCCGTATGTATGAACGCGTCGATCTCAGAAGATATAAGAGCTAGAGACTTGAAATTTTTTTTCCTAGGTCCGTGTATATCACGCGCATATCAAGTTTTTCTCTAAATATCGATAACTACTCTCGATATTTTATTATCGATGAAAACCTTATCGAAAGCTAGTTATTTAAATATATCTCCTACACCTTTAGAGCTAGAGCTTCCAAATTTTAAATGTAGACTTATATGTATTTTATATAATTTAGATTTTTGTTGTAATTTACCCCCCACCCCTATATCCACCCCCTCGCCCTCACCTTTGTAAAAATCGTATTTCAATTACATACATTTTCACCATATGATTACGCCCTGAAAGTTTCGTTCGCTGCTTACTGCGCAGTAAGCAGAGCGCGTTCTAATAAGTACGTGTGTATGTATGTGTGCCGAAAAAAAATGCAGAGTGATTAGAATATCAGATTAGAGGGTTCAGGGTATCTCCTAGTCGAGCAGTCTCGACTAGAGTCTTCTTACTTGTTTTAATGTATGTAACAGGCAGAAGGAGGCGGGCCAGACCCCACAAAGAATATATATTATTGGTTAAGGTGACGAGCTGAGTAGATTTGTCCCTGTCTGTCGACTGTCTGTCTGTCCGTCCGTCCGTCAGTTCGTAAAATTGTTTTTCCTAGGTCCGTGTATATCACGCGCATATCGTTTTTCTCTAAATTTTGATAACTACTCCTGATATTTTATTATCGGGCTTTACCTTATCGAAAGCTAATTATTTAATTTAGACTTATATGTATTTGATATAATTTCGATTTTTGTTGTAAAATATCCTCACCTCTATATTCACCCCCTCACCCACAAGTTTGTAAAAAGCGTATTTCAACCACTAGAGACTTGTGCTTTGGCATATACACGCACTTTAATTTCCATAGTAAGCCTCAAAGAATTATTGTTAAATATCAATTCTTCGAAGGGTTCAGGGGTTTCCTAGTCGACCAGTCTCGACTAGAGCTTTCTTACTTGTTATAAATGACCTTCCTAGCTGTATGTCTTATTCTACGATATTTATGTATGCGGATGATGTAAAACTTTTCCTTCCATACTCCATGACCTTAATGCATTTCAACTTTGGTGTGTGGCAAACCAGTTGCACCTAAATTGCTCAAGGTGTATGACAATGACCTTGAGTCGTACAGCGCCTCATATTGTTGACTATAAAATTAGAAACATTTCCTTAAAACGCATCTTTACAGTCAAAGATCTTGGTGTTTTCTTTGACTATAAACTTAATTTTAATCATCATATCTCTACCATCATAAATGAAGTCAGAAGTGTGCTTGGCTTTATTAAACGTTGGTCTATGGAATTTAATGATCATTTTATTACCAAGCAATTATTTATTTCGCTTGTGCGTCCTATCTTAGAGTATTGCTCAGTAGTATCAGGATCGTATCGAATCGGTCCAAAAACAGTTTCATCTCTTTGCCTTAAGGGATCTTAGATGGGACAGTAATTTACGATTACCGTCTACCATAGTAGGCTTCAGCTAATTGATCTTCCATCGTTAATTAATCGTAGAACAATTTTAGGAATTGTTTTTCTGCATAAATTGATTAGCGGTGATATTGATTCGTCCTCTTTATTGATGCGCCATAATTTTTCGGTTCCGTCCCGAACAACTAGACAGTATCGTCCGCTTCATTTACCTGTGTGCACTACGGATTATTCTTTACATAGTGCGTTTCATGTTTTATGTGTCAATTTTAAAAGATATTATCACGTATTTTCCTTAGAGCTCTCTCTTCCTAAAATAAAATCTATTCTACTAGCTTACCTTAGGGAAGTCAATCGCAGTGCCCAGGCATAAGCACTGGTAAACATTTCGTTGCCAATGCTGTGTAGTGATTTCTCAATCCTATCCTATATTACTTTTTATACCCTGAACCCATTTTCAATGGGAAATCAGGATATAATGGTTTTGTTGAAATATATGTAACAGGCAGAAGGAGGCGTGGCAGACCCCACAAAGTATATATATTCTTGATCAGGGCGACGAGCTGAGTCGATTTGGGCCTGTCCGTCTGTCTGTCTGTCCGTCCGTCCGTCTGTCCGTATGTTTGAATTTTTTCTTTAAAATTACAGTATATACAGCGCGAACGTCGAGTTTGCTTTTAAAATTCGATAAATCATCCCGTTATGTTTTTATCAAGTAAAAACATTCAAGTTCAAGTCAGATGCCACTATAGCTAATTGTGAATGATTTTTCATTTTTTGTTTGTTTTGTTGGTTAATTTAATTTAATTTGGTTATTCTAGCAGATTCTTAGAATCACATCAGCAGTTAGTTTGGCTTAGTTTTGCTAGATGGCGCTGCAGCAGTGAATATTTCAGTTTTGCCACCGCAGCTCCCGAAAGTGAGGTGGCGTAGTGAGTAGTTGCGTGACGCTCGATCGAGAAGTCGCGGGTTCAAATTCCGAGAGGTGCGAGTTATATTAATTTTTTCAATTATTTCAAAATATTTTTATATTTTATTAAATCAGTTTTGTACTTCATTTATATATTTAAATACATCGAAATTGAAATTTTAGCCATACTAAATGGACATTTTTATTAGTTGGGTTCAGGGTAGTATCTAGTCGAGCACTCTCGACTAGAGTTTTCTTACTTGTTATTTCTTATTCTTTGTTCTGTTCACTATTTCTTGCAATATTTGTAATTTTCATTTTTCTGTACTCATTTTATTTTTTATCTTAGCATTTATTATAATTTTAATTATAATACTTATGTATATTTAAGCTCTGTTAATATCTAATTTTTAAGTTTTCCATTTTAACACTTTCTTTTCATAGTTTTAATAGTATCACTGACCACATTTGGCATAGCTGGCCGGACTGACAAATAAAATACCCTCATCGGGTTGATGATATTATTGTTATAATTTGCTGTACTTTTTGTAAGCTAGTTTAATTTTAGTTGACTCCAGTGTTTTCAACATTCTTTTTAAATAAATAAATATTAAATATTTAAATTTATGAACTTTTGTTTGCTTTACTAGTACATAGTACAATTATCATTGTCTTTATTAAAGGTTGAACGTGAAATTGCCATTATGAAATTAATCGACCATCCGCACGTTCTTGGCTTAAGCGATGTGTACGAAAATAAGAAATATTTATACCTGATACTGGAGCATGTTTCTGGCGGCGAGCTTTTCGATTACCTAGTTAAAAAGGGACGACTAACACCAAAGGAGGCGCGAAAGTTTTTTAGGCAAATTATATCGGCACTGGACTTCTGCCACTCACATTCTATATGGTAACCAACTTAATAACAAATTATTAATATATTTTTCAGTTTTTCTTATATATACCCAAACTTACAGCCATCGCGACTTAAAGCCCGAGAATCTGTTGCTGGATGAGAAGAACAATATTAAAATAGCAGATTTTGGCATGGCCTCTCTTCAACCAGCCGGCAGCATGTTGGAAACATCTTGCGGATCTCCACACTACGCTTGCCCTGAAGTTATACGCGTAAGTTTGCTTACACAAGAGACAAAACAGGAACCAGGGCCAGATTAACAAGTAGGCAGGCATATTGTAAGATGGTAAATTTTTCATTGAAATGAAACATTTCCATAGGTACAGGAACACCAAATACAGGCGTAGTATCAGGTGATAGTCATAGTAATTTGTACTCTTTGTTGATGCGTCTTAATTTTTCGGTTCCGTCCCGAACTACTAGAGACTATCGTCCGCTTAATTTACCTTTGTGCTCTACGGACGTTTCATGTTCTAGGTGTTATTATACCCTGAACCTATTGAAAAGGCAGAACGAGGCGTGGCAGACCCCATAAAATATATATATTCTTGATCAGGGCGACGAACTGAGTCGATTTGGCCCTGTCGGTCTGTCTGTCCCTCCGTCTGTCCGTATGTATGAACGAGTCAATTTCCGTACGTGTGTACGAAATATCGCGAATATCGAGTTTATCATAAAAAAAAACCGATAACTCGTCCCGTTATTTTTATCGATAAAAAACCTTATCGAAAATCAGTTATAAAATTATATCTCCTACATCTTTATAGCTAGAGTCTTCAAATTTTAAATGTATACTTATGTGCATTTATGCATTTTATACAATTTCGGTTTTTGTTAAAATTTACCCCTCACCACTAAGTTTGTAAAAGGCGTATTTCAAATAATAGAGACTTGTGCTTTGCCAAATACATGCATATTTATGTTATATTCATAATCTAAAAGTTTCATGAAAATATCACATCCACAAGAAAATTAAGTTATGATAGTAAGCGCACACTGCAGCCCATGCGTGTTTATGCGTGTGTGTATGTGTATATATATATATAAGTTAAGCGCTCCCATACTAGAGTACTAGTGATAGCTCTATCTCTATATGATTCTATTAATGCGGACAATACTACGACTCGTTGTTTGCTTGCCTTTAAGGCCTGTAAAATTAAAGAAAACTGACTGACTGAACTTGCTTATAGTAGGTTTCCAAGTCGTTGTTGCCTTGAATCATTTGATTCAATTCGTATTCCAAGGTTCGAACATCCCTTTTATCAGCATAATGCAATCGCCAAACTCGCTTAATTTCAGGCCAATCATCATTTTGTACACCGTAAGATTACAGTGAAACATCGGCAATTCCAATTACTTTTCCTCGTATATGTAAAATTATTGAGCGATATAGAGGTCTTTCCTTGAAAATAGAATAATCTTCAAGTACGGACTCGATCCAACACTTTAACACAGTCCGGCAATGACGAAATTTCATTTAATTCAAGCTCCGAACGTGGACGGGCCAGTGAGGGTTGTTCCTCTATGAGAGACTGATTAGTATCCTCCTTTTCCAAACGTTCCACTTTCCTATTCAATTGCTTCAAATCTTCCTTAAGACTCGAAAATTGATCGGCTAACACAGTTATTGCCGCGCTCAGCCCTTGCAACGTTCCGAACTAAATTATTTCAATGTCGGAAAACTTACTTACTATTCAATTCGATGCCTACTATGTAATCGATCTAATTTTCTACATTAAATCAGCTTTTCATTGTTTCCAAGCTGCTGCTATTTACCGTTTCCAGTGGAGATAAGAAAATATTAATAATCGTCTCGTAGAATTGCTTCCTGTGGAGATAAATATATTAGTAATGCTCTCACATGGTCGTAACACCTTTTTATACCCTGAACCCATTTTCAATGGGAAATCAGGGTATAATGGTTTTGTGAAAAGTATGTAACTGGCAGAAGGAGGCGTGGCAGACCCCACAAAGTATATATATTCTTGATCAGGGCGACGAGCTGAGTTGATTTAGCCCTGTCCGTCTGTCTGTCCGTCTGTCCGTCCGTCCGTCTGTCCGTCTGTCCGTTTGTCCGTATGTATGAACGTGTCGATTTCAGAAGATATAAGAGCTAGAGACTTCAAATTTTTTTTTTATGTTTTTTTTTAAATGTTCGTAATTACAGCGCGCATATCAAGTTTATCATTAAAAATCGATAACTCATCCCGATCTTCTTTTATCGGTAAAAAACCTTATCGAAAACCAGTTATAAAATTATATCTTCTACACCTTTATTGCTAGAGTCTCCAAATTTTTAATGTATGCCTATATGCAATTTATACAATTTCGGTTTTTGTTAAAATTTACCCCCACCCTTAAATTCACCCCCTCACCCTCACTTTTGTAAAAAGCGTATTTCAAATACTAGAGACTTGTGCTTTGGCAATTACATGCATATCCATGTCATAAGCATAATCTGAAAGTTTCATGAAGATCGTACGTTCACAAAAAAGTTATTAAGCAATTAAGTTCTCATAGTATTTTATTATCGATCAAAAACCTTATCGAAAGCTAGTTATTTAATTATATATCCTACACCTTTAGAGCTAGAGCTTGCAAATTTTAAATGTAGACTTATATGTATTTTATATAATTTCGATTTTTGTTGTAATTTACCCCCCACCTCTATATCGACCCCCTCATCCTCACCTTTGTAAAAGGCGTATCAAGCACTAGAGACGTGTGCTTTGGAATGTAAATACATGTTCACCATATAATTATGCCCTGAAAGTTTCATTAAAATTGTAGGTCTAGAAATTAAATTATTCAACAAATAAATTCTTATATTGTTGCCCACACTACAGCGCAGCCCAAGCGCAGTCGTTGCTTACTGTGCAGTTAGCAGAGCGCGTTTTAATACGTGCATGTGCATGTATGTGTGTCGAAAAGAAGTGCAGATGATTAGAATATCAGATTAGAGGGTTCAGGGTATATCCTAGTCGAGCAGCCTCGACTAGAGTCTTCTTACTTGTTTAAATAGTTGACGTGAATATTATTTCTTTTATATTATTTCATTGAATTACTAATTGTATTGAATTACGTGTGTGTATTACCACGTGTGTTATTGCGTTGTCTGTTATAGAATTACTGAATTACCAATTACTAGTTATATTATCGTTTGTTACCGAACCGGCAAACAGTTTTTATTATTTTATCACGTCGATGGCCCTCGTAGCTAGCACGTTTAATAATTTTTAGATTTATATATTTTATATTATCTAATAAATAAATAATAATAATTATTTTATATGGCTTGGGAAGCCCTCAGGTGTAAGACCTACTTAGGTGAGGGTGGTTCCACAATCATCTGGTCTCTCTCTTGCTCTCGTTTCATTTATTTATTATACCCTGAACCCATTGAAAATGGGAAATCAGGGTATAATGGTTTTGTTAAAAGTATGTAACAGGCAGAAGAAGGCATGGCAGACCCCACAAAGTATATATATTCTCTATCAGGGCGACGAGCTGAGTCGATTTGGCTCTGTCCGTCTGTCTGTCCGTCCGTCCGTCCGTATGTATGAACGCGTCGATCTCAGAAGATATAAGAGCTAGAGACTTGAAATTTGTTATCCTAGGTCCGTGTATATCACGCGCATATCAAGTTTTTCTTTATATATCGATAACTACTCCCGATATTTTATTATCGATTAAAAACCTTATCGAAAGCTAGTTATTTAATTATATCTCCTATACCTTTAAAGCTAGAGCTTCCAAATTTTAAATGTGGACTTATATGTATTTTATATAATTTAGATTTTTGTTGTAATTTACCCCCCACCCCTATATTCACCCCCTCACCACCACCTTTGTAAAAGGCGTATTTCAAGTACTAGAGACGTGTGCTTTAGAATGTGCACACAGGCAGAAGGAGGCGTGGCAGACCCCACAAAGTATATGTATTCTTGATCAGGGCGAGTCGATTTGGCCCTGTCCGCCTGTCTGTCTGTCCGTCCGTCCGTATGTTTGAACGCGTCGATTTCCGAAGATATAAGAGCTAGAGACTTGAATTTTTTTTTAAATGACCGTATATACAGCGCGGACGTCGAGTTTGTTTTTAAAATTCGATAAATCATCTCGTTATGTTTTTATCGAGTAAAAACATTCAAGTTCAAATCAGATGTCACTATAGCTAATTGTGAATGATTTTTCATTTTTTTAAATTTCTCAAATATTCAATATAATATGTAAATCATATGCTGAAAGTTTCATTAAATTCCGTTCAGTCAAAAATTAATAAAAAATAATCAAATATTTGGTCAATTAACAAACGCACGTGCAGCAGCTACAACAGCATCGTATGCGTGTGCACACATACATTCAAACTTCTTCTAGAAACATTCGTTGAATCACATCAGCTGTTAGTTTGGTTTAGTTTTGGTAGATGGCGCAGCAGCAGTGAATCTATTTGAGTTTTGCCAGCGCAACCAGCAGAAGTGAAGTGGCCTAGTGTGTTAGCTGCATGACGCTCGATCGAGAAGTCGCGGTTCGAATCCCAATCGGTGCAGCTGATGTTAATTTTTTTAAATTGTTTCAAAATATTTTTATATTTTCATAAATGAGTTAATGATCAAATGAGTTAATTTATATTTTTAAATACACCGAAATTTAAATTTTAACCATACTTAATGTGCGTTTTTAATAGGTTAATTTAATTTAATTTGGTTATTCTAGCAGATTCTTAGAATCACATCAGCAGTTAGTTTCGTTTAGTTTTGGTAGATGGCGCTGCAGCAGTGAATCTATTTGAGTTTTGCCAACACCACTAGCAGGAGTGAAGTGGCCTAGTGTGTCAGCTGCATGACGCTCGATCGAGAAGTTGTGGTTCGAATCCCGATAGGTGCAACTGATGTTAACTTTTTTAATTGTTTCAAAATATTTTTATATTTTATTAAATGAGTTTGGTATTTTATTTATATTTTTAAATACATCGAAATTGAAATTTCAGCCATACTAAATGGGCATTTTTATATGTTGGGTTCAGGGTAGTATCTAGTCGAGCACTCTCGACTAGAGTTTTCTTACTTGTTTCTTTTATATATTGTTGCCAGACTTATTCTCATCCGAAAGGGAAGCTCAAAGTATTCCTCTTTGGTTCTAAGACCTACTAGGGTAAGGGTTATTCCACGATCGAATAGAAGGTCTCTGCAATTCATGTTTTTATTTTTCATATTTATGCTTTGCTTGTTGATTAGAGATTTCCAGACAACCGCCTTTTAATTTTGTTATATAGTTAGTGCTTTAAACTTAACTTTGACCACTAGGTTTCTTTTAATTTATATGGAAACCCAACATTCAACACAGGTGGAAATTGTGACGTTTATTATACCCTGAACCCATTGAAAATGGGAAATCAGGGTATAATGGTTTTGTTAAAAGTATGTAACAGACAGAAGGAGGCGTGGCAGACCCCACAAAGTATATATTCTTGATCAGGGCGACGAGCTAAGTCGATTTGGCCCTGTCCGTTTGTCTGTCCGTCCGTCCGTCCGTCCGTCCGTATATATGAACGCGTCGATTTCCGAAGATATAAGAGCTAGAGACTTGAAATTTTTTTTCCTAGGTCCGTGTATATCACGCGCATATCAAGTTTTTCTTTTTATATCGATAACTACTCCCGATAATTTATTATCGATCAAAAACCTTATCGAAAGCTAGTTATTTAATCATACCTCCTACACCTTTAGAGCTAGAGCTTCCAAATTTTATATGTAGACTTATATGCATTTTATATAATTTCGATTTTTGTTGTAATTTACCCCCCACCCCTATATCCACCCCCTCACCCTCACCTTCGTAAAAGGCGTATTTCAAGTACTAGAGACGTGTGCTTTGGAATGTACATACATTTAAATATTATGATTATGTTCTGAAAGTTTCATTAAGATTGTACGTCTAGAAATTAAAATATTCAACAAATAAATCCTTATAATGTTGGCCACACTGCAGCGCAGCACAAGCGCAGTTAGCAGAGCGCGTTCTAATACGTGGATGTGTATGTACGTGTGCCGAAAAGAAGTGCAGAGTGATTAGAATATCAGATTAGAGGGTTCAGGGTATCTCTTAGTCGAGCAGTCTCGACTATAGTCTTCTTACTTGTTTTTTATTACATTTGTCTTACGGCAAGGATTTGAGCCTCGATACGAGAATCAATCTCGTACCACCATTATGCCTGCAAATTTCTCGTATTTTCGTTTTAAGACTCGTCTCGGCACGGATTTGAACCTAGGTATTGCCAACCATTTAGCCACGATTTCTTTTATGTTATAGAATTATCTAGTGCACCAACACTTGCTAGAAATAGAAATAATAACATTATTTATTGTATTATGTTATGGCAAGGACTTTCACCCCATTACTTTGCAAATCGCAGAAGTACTTCGTAATTTTGCCATCAATTGCCCAATTGGATTGGAACAATTTATTTGTACTTGCTTTTTTAATAAGTTATTTTTATAGAATTATTGACACGTCACCATTTCCCTTTACTTCCGTGAAGAATGTGGGTCCCTGCTCGGGCGCCAGTTAAGCGCTCCCATACTAGAGTACTAGTGATTGGGGGACGCTGTGTTGGGTTCTTGTGAATATATAACAACTTTGTGTTCAATGAAATAATATATTTTATACAATTTGGAACAATAGGTCTAAACTCTCTCTAGTCCGAATATAAACTGAACTAAATCTGTTCAACTGGTTAGGTTCTCCCCTTGAATGTCTGACTGGACTCTCCAGCCTCCTTAGATTGTCGAAAGTCTTAACTTATATACTAGCTGGCCCGGCAAACGTTGCATTGCCCTTCCATTATTTCTAGGTAAAAAATTGTTGAAAGCTATGTTGTTCAGGTTGGGATACACTCTGAATAATTTATTAATCGGATTTTCATTCAAGCACCTTGAGGTAAACGACATTCTTCGTTTTTTGGTCAGGTGCAAGAACAAATAATGCGGATGGCTTGCCAACACGTGAGCATGCCACGTACAATTGACCATGAGAAAAACACGCATTTTCTAGATTGAGGCCACAAATAGTCAAAGATTGGCCCTGTGATTTGTTGATCGTAAAAATTGTATTTTAGAACCCCTAATAGGTTTACGACTTTTACAGCTACTCTCTCCTAAATTAAGAGTGATAACTTTTTTTGTGTACCAAAAGCAAACAAAATGAAATTTATATAAAGTTAAAATGAAAACAATGATTGATTTTACCATTCAATGGATTAATCATTTTGATATTAAAGTGATATCCATCATTTCCTTGCCATAACATCAGCGGGTATTGTAAAGCGTCATATGAACGGTGCGTTTCAGATATTCTTTGTAGTTGCCCAGTACTTCGTCGTGTAAGCACAATATCTCGTGCTTCCAAGCTTTCACCAACAATCACGATTGCCACTTCATCGATTGTTGGAGCATTAAATGTGCGTTCATGTGTTCCAGCTGGTCTTTTATCTGCTCTGATTACTGCTTTATAGTCATCTCTTGGCATGCACTCTAAAGCAGTCTTGAACAGATTGACCAATGCATTATGTTCGTGAAGCATTTGCTGCAAATCTTGGAGAATTGGTCTTTTCATAGCTGTGTTGATTTCTTGACGCCGGTCAAGTTGTTCTACTATATTGCCCATGAAGTATATTTGCAAGAATTAGTGCTGTGCATCTTCAATAAGTTGCAATGAACCAATGCGATGGCAAATCTGGCCTTGAATCTTAAAATTCAAAGCCATAGTTATAGTTAGATTTACAAACACTTTTTACAGAAATCTAACAAACTACATCATTCCAATTTTTTAAAATTTTCTTTTTTTCTTTTTTTTTTTTTACAATCATAGAAAATAAAATTTTTAACGTAAATTACCTTAAATGTCGGATTATATCCGTCTCCAATAATTTCCTCCCCAAATGTCATTTGGAAACAGGCATTGTATTTTTGAGTGTTCGCTAGAAAATGTCGTGATCCTAGTGTTTCGCCATAAAGCAGGGAATGGCTCTGGTGGCAGGACCACTAATGGCAATGTCACTTTACCACTAAGGCAGCACAAACCGGGCGTTTCACCAGCAAACTTCAATGCGCCACAATGCTGGCAAACAACGTCCATTGGACCAATGCAAACTAAACGATTCAAGCTATAATCAATAGTGCAATCATATCGAAACGCTGCTCGATTCAAATCAATCCTTGAACCATTTATTATTGCCGTTTCACGGCCTGCCTCTCTTTGAGAAGCACGAATTAAGGCCCTTCTTTGCTGGGTACTAACGCGGCGCTCTTCTCGGGCGATTTCTCGCTCTTCGTCAGATAATTGACTCGCGATATTCCGTTTCCTAATTGCATTATGGGTCCGCCGGTATGTGTGTGTGTGTATGCGTTTGAGTGTGTGTATGCGAGTGTGTGTGTGCGTGTGTGTGCGTGTTTCTTGTGTATGTATGTATGTAACAGTCAGAAGAAGGCGTGGCAGACTCCGCAAAGTATATATATTCTTGATCAGGGCGACGAGCTGAGTCGATTTAGCTCTGTCTGTCTGTCAGTTTGTCCGTCTGTCCGTATGTTTGAACGCGTCGATCTCAGAAGATATAAGAGTTAGAGACTTGAAATTTTTTCCTAGGTCCGTGTATACAACGCGCATATCGAGCTTCGATTTAAATATCGATAACTTGTCCCGTTATTTTGTTATCAATAAAAATTTGTATCGAAACCCAGTAATAAATTTATATCTCCTACATCTTTGAAGCTAGAGTTTTTTGTCCAAATTTACCCCCATTAGTAATTCACCCCCTCACCAACGCATTTGTATAAGGCGTATTTCAAATACTAGGGATTTGTCCTTTGGCAAATACATGCTTTTCTATTTTCTATTTTTAATCTAAAAGTTCAATTAAGATAGTCCATCTACAAGAAAAGTTATTAAGCAATTAAGTTTCCATAGTAAGCCAACACTGCAGCCAATGCGTGTTTATGCGTGCGTCTGTCTGTGTGCGTATATGTTGGCATATGCGAAAAATTATTGAAATGTCAGTTGCTCGAAGGGTTCAGGGGATCTCGTAGTCGGGCAGACTCGACTAGAGCTTTGTTACTTGTTAGACTCATTCACGAAAGTGAATCAGTATATTGGTTTTGTGCAATGTCCGTCTTGCTGTCCGTCTGTCCGTATGAACGCAATCTATTTCGGACCTATTGAAACTATAGACTTGAAATTTGGAACACATACATAAGTTATAAACCTAGAATGCTGAACTTTTGAACGTAAGCTAATGCTTTAATTCTATAAAGATGGGTGAAAAATTATATATCTACGCCTATTAGGGGCGTGGCAAATCGGACCTGAAGTTATAGTGATTTTTCGAATTCGGCTAAATTTTGGACACTATTGATGCTAGAGACCTGAAATTTGGTATATATACGCGGGTTTACCCCCCAAGTCCAACGAGCTATGGTAGATATATGTCCGCCCATAGAGGGCGTGGCAAACCGCAAAATTTATATCTCCTACAGTTTAAGAGCAAGAAGCTTCAAATTAGTTTACTTACTGGTAGCCTTCTCTATCGATGCCCCAAAAATAATTTTTACGCCTCTTTAGGGGCGCGGCATATCGAAAAATAGCCTGTATTTTTCACATTTTTTGAGCGTAAGAATTCAAATTTTGCATTTAGGTTATCGGTTGCTCGTTCGAAGAACTGGCCAAAACTAGCCCTACGGCCACTAGGGGCGTGGCAATCGGCACTTATACTGCCCATATTGCGGCATTTATATGCGTCAGCCATCTATTTATGTATTACATTATTGTTATGACGCCACATAGCAAAGAAAAGCCAGTGTAGCGGCTGGAAATTTAAAAACAATGCAAAGACAAATCAATCGCAGCGAGATTCTTAGAATATACTAGAGTACGCATTTATGTGTACATATGTACATACACACATACAAATGAGCGCGTGTATAAGGCTGGAATGCTTGATGCTATGCGTGCAGACTTACATATATACATATATATGTATTTGCGTATATGTATTTTAGGGCTATTTAGGGCTATAAACAAATTTAAACATATAAAATTATTCGACTAAGAAAAAGGAAAGTATTCATATTCATTCAAGCTCGCACCTTCCCAATAAAATATCTATTTTATACAAAACGAAATATGTATGAAAAAAAAAAAAAATGACATCGAAGAGGTTCGAACCTCCCCTACTCTAACATAATTTGCGTCGCCCTTATCACCCGCGCCACTGCTTTGCTTGAGCGTCATCAGACAAAATTACAGTAACGGCTAGAAAATCCAGAAATCAATCGAAATTCTAAGAATGTGAGAAAAGGCGCGCTTCTGTCTGTACGCATAGAATAGACGATGAGTGTGTGCACATGTATAGGAAAATCGCGCTGATCTGCTGTTAGCTTGAAGCCGGTATCCAATATATGGATAAAAATATATAATAAAAATCAAAATTGTATAAATTATATGTCGGAATGATATTATGATACAATAATTATACAGAGACGTGTAAGGGTCAGTATGGCCGTGTCGGAATGATATTATGAGAAATGAATTACACAGGGACGTGTAACTGTCAGTATGGCCGTGTCGTGTCTGTGCGATATTACACTGTTGAAATTGCAATTAGATATCTTGATATCGTGTTAATCGATTGATTTAGTATTATGGTGCAATTAAAGGATGCACTGTCACTAAGAGAGAGACAACAATAACTGTTGCTGAACGTAGTCCCGGGTGTCGCTGGGTGAGAGCGAGACGACTAGTCATGTCGTTCGCAGCAGGGTCGCTGTGCTTTCGATGAATGAATGAATGATTAGAACTTTCGAGAGTAGAAGAGAAGTCACACTTGGTCAATGACTATTGAACGAGAAAGAGCATTAAAAAGAGTTTAGCGACACACCGGGAATTCGTTATTACGCGCAGCTATGATGGAAAAGCAGAATGAGAAACGCAACGCCCCGACATCAGAAGTAGGATCGGCACCACCTCCTACGTTCTTGGAGGAGCAGTGGCGTACGATTTTGGGCCTACAAAACCGAATTTGTCAGGACTATCAATACGTGAAGTGAGCAGCAGAAACGCGACGTCATTCTACGAAAATTTAACGCTGACGTGGCAGACGTTGATGCTGAAAATTGATGTCCGACTGTAGCTGAAATATGTGTGGTAGATGAATCGAAGATAAGTATACTGATCCGAGGTGAGAGCTTTCCAATTATCTTTGATTCTGGTGTATTATTTCTTGGCTAAAGATAGCTTTGCACGAAAGGCTATATGAAACAAGTGAGAGTACTCGGTCGACTCTGCTCGACTGGTTAATGCCCTTGGCTCCTTGGGCTGCTGTTCTGGTTATTCTGCGCATTTTTGTGTACGCATACGGTGACGCATGCACGCGTTTGCTGGCTGCGCGGTGGGCGGCGGCTGCGCTGCGGTGAGGCCGGTGTTGTGAGAGTTTGTTTGTTGGATGGTTTCTCTTGTGGTGGGACTGTCTTTGTGGGACTTTCGGAGCGTGATCGTGGTGCTCAGATGTGTGTGTTCCGAGGTGCGGATCTCTAGTACATTTTTGGTGGTAGGAGTTTTAGATGGTGACAGATATTTGATAAAGTCGCTTAAAGATCAAATGTATAAGTATTGCCATGAAAATGTTCGAAAAATGCCAAATGGTTTATGTAGATTTTCTGTTCCGAAATTCTTTGCCCCCAGAAGTCAAAATTATAAGAAAAGTAGAAGAAGTTCGTGTTGATTTAGCAGAAATGACAGATAATTGGCTATTGGCGGAGCAGCAATGCGATTCTGATATAATGCAAATAATGAACCAATTAAATGCTGGGAAAACTCAAAATGATCTTTTAAAAACATATGAAATTAGAACCGGGTTGTATCGCAATATTCAACGAAATGGCAAAACACGTTGTCTGCCTGTGATTCCGAATGCCGTAATTAATCATGTGCATGAAGCAATAATGCACTTGGGTTGGCAGAAAACTCTAGACAAGGTTTTTGAGCAATACTGGTTTAAAAATATGACGAAATATGTAAGGAAATTCGTAGAAAATTGTATAACGTGCAAATTGGCTAAACCTTCGTCCGGAAAAATGCAAATGGAAATTCATCCCATTCCTAAAGTTGAAATACCTCTACCGTATAGTAACACATAGATATTAGCGGCAAGTTGAGTGGCAAAAATGATTTAAAAGATTATGTCGTTGTTCAGGTAGATGCATTTACTAAGTTTGTCCATTTACATTACACGTTAAACCTAGACACAAATAATTGCATTGCAGCCATAAAGTCGACTGTAGCACTTTTTGGAGCACCTTATCGTATTATTGCAGATCAGGGCAGAAGCTTTGCAAGTAGTGGCTTTAAAGATTTTTGCTCTAGTAATAAAATAGATTTGCATTTGATAGCAACAAGCGCTTGTAGAGCTAATGGACAAGTGGAGCACGTGATGAATACTATGAAAAGTATGTTGACAGCTGTAGAAACAGGTTCATGATTATGGCAAGAAGCTTTAAAAGAAGTACAGTTAGCCATGAATTGTACAACCAATAGTGTAACTAACTTTAATCCATTAGAGTTATTAATTGGTAGGGCAGCAAGGCCTCTGGTCATGCTACCTATCGGTGGAGAAACGAAAATTGATCGTAGTGAAGCGAGAGTTCTAGCTAAGGAAAATATGGTCAGGAATGCCGAGTATGACAAAAATAGAGTAGATAAAAATAAGGCAAAAATTAAGAAATACAAAATTGGTGATTACATCAGCATCAGACAAAACTCGATCCCAAATTAAAGGGACCATTTGTAGTTACTGAATTGCTAAAAGGTGACCGTTACATGTTGAAATCAATAACAAACAAGAGAAAATATAAGTATTCGCATGAGTTTTTACGAGCATTACCAGATAAGCAAATCGAAACAGAAATATTTGACGACATTGACCACGGTGAAAAAGACGCTGGTTAAGAGGTTACCTCTGC